GGAGACGGGGGTGAGCACACGGCGTTTTGTACTATTTCAGTCTCCATCTGTATATATAGACTTGTCTTTTTCCTTTCGAGACAGTCCAGTCTCTGTTGTCCACTTTTGGGACTTGTACTCATTTTGTTAGTAGCTCTGTACTAGTGACTTCCAGGTTCTGGGATGGATCTTTATTTGTATTTATGTTTTTGGTTTGCTTCCGCCTGCTTATATTGTTATTTGTCTACTCTTGTTTAGTTTCTACCCTCAGACCCATTACTTGTTGTTCCGGGTTACGGGTTGGCTTACCTACTGGTGGGTTATAGTAGGTGCCATCATGACTTGAAAAATCGGGTCGTGACAATATGTCTGGACATGCATCCAAGCATAGGTGAGTTTTCATGGTTTTATTGCATTTACAAGTTACAACTTTAGACTACTTCTGCAGGGGACTTTGAGGAACAGGTCAGTCTTGTTCAATTGGCAACAAACTACTACCTTATAGGTAAAAATTGTCGGTATTGTTCAACAATTGAAACTCATGTCTAATAGACAACATATTACACTATTGTCACGGTTGGTAACTTCTTACAACATATTACAACAATAGATTTAGTGCAATTTGTCGATCTTCTTTGTTACACCCCTGCCTAGTGAGTTAGTGATCAATATTATTCCTTACTTGTTCATATTTTACACACAAGCTTAAAGAAGGAAACAACATTCACGTACATATATACCTCAAATGTCTAAACATTTTTACGATTTGATTCAAAATTTGAAGTTTATAAGTTTGGGATTTAATTCTTTTAAATTACTAAATTTTGAAAAAGATAACCAACACATTTGAAAATTTCACATTTTGGACTATAAAGAATTGTTAAAAAAATTCATTTAATATATTGAAATGAATGGAGTAATTCATTGTGTAAAATCACTTTGGTACAATCATTCACAATCCTATTATGCAACATATTATCATTTATCCCCTCAAACGCAACTTCAAAAGCTCAAATTTTCAAGTTTCCAGTTTAAATTTCAAAATCTATGATCAAACACGAGTTAAAATATGCGATAATAAGTAGCCAACGGATTGACAGAGTCTTCATTAACATGAAGTTGAATCAAATCTAAACTTTCATTTATGATTTCAATATGCATAAGCTGGTGACTGAATGTTCAATTTTACTACAAAATTCAACAGACAAAGAATGCTATTTGCCACTATTCATTACAAAAAAAATCCCATGAATGATTCAATTGAGTAATTTCCCCAGAAAATGCTCAGACCTTCAGTTTTTTTTACCACTTCGAAGCACTCTGCTTGAAGGCTCCACAGTTGTCTTGTTCCTGGGTGTTGCTGAAACTGATGAATTCCCCCTTGTACTGGAACTTGGTGGAGTCGGGTCAGAACCCATTTCAGTTTTGCCCCGGTAAGTGGAAGCTCTGCCTTTAGGAGTCGGGCCAGTACCCATTTGAGCTTTTCCCCGGCGAGTTGAGACGGAAGTGGACGGTGTGGCTTTAGCTTTCTCGGATTTTGGTGGTTGTGGGTCAGCAGGAGGAGTCGAATCAGAATCGGTTTTGGGTTTTCTCCGGCGAGCTGAGCCGGCAGTGGACGCTGTGGATTTTGATGGTTGTGGATTTGCCATTCTGGCTTTGCCCTGACGGGTGAGAACACTGGAAGTTGGCAGCACAACTGCCCTTTTCTTGAGCGGCAACCGCTTAGCAAGCACTGCATTGGCCTCAGAGCTGGTTATACTCACTGGCTTGAACATGCTTGGGTAATTCTTCTCTTTCATATCTTCCGGCGCATTGTCCTCAGAGGGACTTTCCTCAGAAGGCACCATTTTCGCTTTGCCTTTATCACGTCGACCGGAACGGGAGGAGGGTTCCATATTTAACCTTTTCTTGGCTGGTCCAGAGACTCTTGCGTTTCCCTCATAAGAACTTGTTCTGGATATCTTGGTACTGGATGAACGAGTATTTGGTGATATTATGGGTTTTTGAGCAACAGGCGATTTGGGTATTTCATTGCGACGGCGGGCGGCGGCGGGAGAAGAGGCGCCGCCAGCAGTGGTGTTTGTTGTTTCGCCCTTCTTTGACTTGGGTGGTTGAGAAACAGAATCAGGAGGGACGTTAGAATCCACTTTACCTTTGCCGCGTTGTTGTCGAGTAGATCTTTGAGTAACAATGACGGCAGTCTCCGTATTCGCCTTATTCTTGGAATCCATCGAAGAAGATTCAGAAGTGTTTGTTTCAGCCTTCTCCGACTTGGGTGGTTGAGAAACAGAATCAGAAGGCATGCTAGAACCCACTTTGTCTTTGCCGCGTTGTCGAGTAGAGCTTCGAGTACCAATGGCGGCAGGCCCTGAATTCGCCTTTTTGTTGGAATCCATTGAAGAAGATTCTCCACCACCACCATCAGAAATCTTTGTTTCTACCTTCTTGGACTTGGGTGGCTTAGGATCAGACTCCACTTTGCCTTTGCCGCGTTGTCGAGCAGAGCTTTGAGTACCAATGGCGGCAGGCCCTGAATTCGCCTTTTTCTTGAAACCCATTGAAGAAGATTCACCACCACCACCATCAGAATTCTTTGTTTCTGCCTTCTTGGACCTGGGTGGCTTAGGATTAGAACCCAATTTTGCTTTTCCACTTCCAGAAGAGCTTGGAGCAACATTGACAGGTGGTTGTTGAGGATCCGAATTAGAATCCAAATTGGGTTTTGCAGTGCGAGAAGAGGTTCGAGTACCAATGGCGGGTTGATGAGTGAAGGTTGAGGATGACTCCTTCTTCGCCTCTTTCTTGGGAGCCATGGAAAACAGAGCTTTCTTTCTTGGTGATTGACAGAAAACAGAGTAACTATAGCTGGCTTTGATTTGATAGTCTATTTATACGCAGTACATATGTTCTCCTTCTGATTTCGGCGCCCAATTCAAATGATTGGATGTTCGATATTTATATGGAAGTCCAACTAATTTGAGTTGATAGTATTATAATATCTTTTTGTTTTTTTAGTTTTTTACCTAATAGTCAATATTTCTATGGAAGTCTGATTAATTTGAGTTGATAGTATTATAGTCTTGCTCCATTTTTTTTTGTTTTCTTATCAGATATTTAATACTTGTATGAAAGTTCGATTAATTTGAGTTGATTGTATTATAATATTTCTTTCATTTTTTGTTTTCTTACCTTATATTTATTACTTGTATTGAAATCAGGCTAATCTGAGTTGATAGTTTATAATCTTTATTCAAGTTGTTGTTTTTTACTAGATATTCATTATTTGTATTGAAATCGGACTAATCTGAGTTGATAGTATTATAATCTTTTTTTTCATTTTCGTACCTGATATCCAATATTTGTATGGAAGTATGACTAATTTGAGTTGATAGTATTATAATCTTTTTTTGTTTGTTTTTTATATCCAGTACTTGTATAGAAGTTCGATTAATTTGAGTTGATAGTATTATAATCTTTTTTCATTTTTTTGTTTTCTTACCTGATATCCAATATTTGTATAAAAGTCCTACTAAATTGAGTTGATATTATTATAATCTTTTTTCATTTTTCTTTGTTTTCTTACCTGATATCCATATTTGTATGGAAGTCACAAAGAGTAAGTGAACTAGATAAAAGGGAATCTTGATTCCCTTTTATCTAGTTCACTTATACTGGATCTTACGTAGCCTGCTCATGTACAACATGATTCGGATCATAGAAAAGATTCTCTTTAAGCGAACCAGCCTATCCTCTGTATAGGGCTTACACGGCGATTGGAACAAAGAGACACATTTGGTTGTGAATTCCCATGTGGCAGGCATATATCTACACAGACCAATCAATAGTTCAAGTCACACACTCCCATAATCCATTTTCTCTTCACAAAATTCCCTTCAATCCCCCCGTTTAGTTGACATGAATGGTTAAAGGGAAATGCCCAAATCCATGTCTTATTATTTTCAATAATCCATACTTGTAGCAATGAAATACTATATATTCTAGTCCAATTAATTTGAGTTGATAGACTGATAGTATTATAATCTTTCTTCATTTTTTGTTTTCTTACCTGATATTCAATATTTGTATTTCAAAATTCGACAAATTTGAGTAAATAATATAATAATCTTTCTTTTTTTTTTTGGATTGTTTACTTGATATGCTATATTCATATTGAAATTCGTATAAAATCAAAAAATAGTTAAGCAAATTGAGATGGAGAAAATAATAAACTAATGTTAAACACAAAAACAAATCGTTAATTGTAATAGTTGCTTAAAGGGCTGATGAATAATGAGGAATGACTTAAATAAAAGGATAAATTAATCAAGACACATTTTAAATTAATATTGTAGCTATAGTAATATTCATTTTCAGCCAATCATGTTACTTCAATTTAACTTCAATAACCAAAATGTTCCCCAAATTGTAATGATTCGGTAGGTCATTTTTGGAAATTTTAAATATTCATTTAACTAGAGTAAATTAATTGATGGTTAATTATTAAATAACTAATTTTAGTTAATGCTTAATGGGTTAAATTATAATTAGTTTAATTTCACTTGACCCATATAGGAAAATAAATCATTAGGATTGAGAATTGTTGGGTCATAATTTCGTGTAGTTGCGACTTGGAAAGAAGGAGTATTGAGGTATATAATAAATACATATATGTGAAGCTAATTTTTCCTTTCGTGTACAGATATATGCATATATTATTTACATATATTTATGGATTAGAGGGTACTGATTAAATTATTATGGTTGACGGATGAAACAGTACTAGGATATAAAATATGTTTTTCTGTTGGTTAATATTTTGAATTGATCATTAAGAGTTAGATGGGAAATTAAGGTGGATTAATGTATGTTTGTTATAAAGGGTTTGTGAGTTTGTTTTGGAAATTAATGGTAACTGGTGGGTGCTAAATTAATAAGAATGGTGGGCCAATGATTAGCCATGATGAGCCAATCATGGTTGGAATAAAGGGTGTCAAAGGAAAAAAAATTCAAGTTTCATGTTACTGTTCCTAAGGCATTCGGTTTAAATTTTATATTTTTGGTTATTATATTATGATTCAAGTATTGATAGGGTTGGTATGTGATATTTTCTCTTCTCCTGGTCTGAGGCTTCTTGTGAAGGTTTGTGAGACAGCTGCTTGTCATTTCAGCGGACCTTTCTCCTTAATTATGATCTTGTTCTATTCTAGAAACAATGTCATTTGAGACTTGTGTTTTTCTTTTGAATCAGTTGTAACACTTTAGAAGCTTGTACACGTGACAGCCAGATTTTGGGGTATTTTTGAGTTGATTATAAAATTTTCGCATTTTATTGTAAAGGTTGAGTTTTAAGCTAACTTGTCTTGATGGGATAAGATGAGTGTCATCACGTCCATTTTTGGATCGTGACACAAATACCATATGCTTTTACCATATGAATTCCCTCTTATAGTGTGGTAGTATTACAATAACTTACATTTCAAAATAACAATAATAAATTCAAAATAAATCCACTCAAATGGTCAAAAATTTGTATGCTGTCATTTATATCATTAAAGAGCCTATTCGAATGAACTTATTTTAAATATTTTGGAGTTAAATAGTTTTTAAGCATTTTTTTAAATGTTTAGATAAGTTTTAAAAAATGCTTATAAGCATTTGATTTTAAGCTAAAATGATAAAAATAAGTCATAAGCTAAGATTTCTTTATATGATTATTGATTTATAAGTTCAAAAATCAAAAGTCAATCCAAACAGACTCAAAAGTCAATCCAATTTTGAAATTATATGTTTGTAAATGATAAAAGATATGAAAAAGTGTAAGAAATATTTACAAATTACATTACAATAAAAAAAAAATATGCATAGAAATATGTTTACCCCTTAAAACTAGCTACATTTACTTTTTACCCGTTAAAATTCCATTTTCAACTTGAAAAATTATATGTCAGGTTTTTATTGAACAAGAATGACAGTGATATGACAAACTTACTCTTTGTAGAGAAAGTCAAATTGACATTAAACACATTTTATTTCTCCAGTTTGGTTGGTGAGTAGAAAATATTTTTAAAAAATATTTTTTAATATTTGATTGGTGAATGAAAAAGATTTTCTAGAAAATATGTTTTTTTTTTAGTTGGGAAAATGCATAAGTACCCCCCTAGCCTATGCCCGAAATCCCAAAGACACACATAACCTTTACTAAGGTCTTATTACCCCCCTGAACTTAATTTAACTATAATATTCTACCCCTTTTCGGCCTACGTGGCACTATTCTTGAAAAAATTGTCAACGTGCGCTGGGCCCACAAGATAGTGCCACGTAGGCCAAAAAGGGTAGAATATTACATATAAAATAAGTTCGGGGGGGGGGGGGTAATAGGACCTTAGTAAAGATTAGGTGTGTCTCTGGGATTTTGGGCATAGGCTGGGGGGTACTTATGCATTTTCCCTTTTTATTTTGAAGAAGTATGCATTGTATTTGTTCCCAGTTAAGTTATTAATTAAAGTTTCACCAAAAAAAAAGTTATTAATTAAAGGGATGCTATTCTTTTAATTGCTTTGGGTATATTTGCAAAAAAATATTTTATATGCTCATCTATTTCTCAGAAGAAATCGTGTAATTTTCTTAAAGATCGTTGTGAATTTTTTGTCAAATTAGATGGAGTATGTAAGATTAAATTGTTTTAATCTTGATTCTAGCACAAGCTGATATTTATATTCCTCATAAAAGAAATTTAGGAAAGTTGACGCCCTTAATCAGGGGCGGCAGCTCAAGCATATTAGTAATCTAAAGTCAAAATCAAATGGAGGTTTTAAATTTAAATTGTTACTAATAACTTTTATATAACTGATTTCTTTTGATATATTTTTTTTCAATTGATAATATAACCATTCTTATTTTATATTATCTTTCATAAGATACAATATTCTAAATATATCAAACTTCTTCTAGTAAATTCTTTCATTTTATATCAAAAGTTTACTTTTTCTACTAATAGTATTCCTTTTTAAAAAAAAATAAATATAATCTATTATTGTTAAGAAATAAGGACTCTCAAATTTGGGGGTCTAAAGTACATGTCTTTTTCTTAACACGGATGAGCAAGGCCCTGCCATTAATGCGCGATAGATATGTAATATTCTTTCAATATGTGTTGCGAACACTTTCAACAACAATAGTACTATTTATCTTATTAGCAAAATAAAAATGACAAAAAAACTATTACGTTCTTAAAAATATTTTCCTAGTAATGGTTGGTACACCAATTATACCGTATTAATGCACTCTATCAAACGAACCCATAATCGCAGAAATCAGCTTCCCATTCACAATAGCAATAAGTTGAATCTTGACCTTGTAAACAATAATGTTCATAAGGGTCATGACCATGGGATATTTTAGTGCACTCTGTTAGGCATATTCTTGATTGTGATTCTACTGGACAATCAATTCCAAGTACTAATCTCTCACAAATATTTACTAGGGCACCCTCAACTGAAATCATACCTTAAAAAAAAGATTAAAAAATCATTAGAAATGCCAATTTAAATAAATAGATACATAAATAGATTTGACTTCTTTAACTATTAATTTGTCCTTACTCATCGACATGAGTCGAGGATCTGTTGAAAACCGTCTCTCTACCTTTATGAAAGATGGGAATAAGAACCTAATCTCCTTACAAAGCTACTTGTGAGATTCATCAAAAATATTTGTTGAATTAAAATTTTATAATTACACGTGATTTAACAAATGATGAAAATAAAAACTATCTTACAAAAAAAAAAATCTTGTGGGGTCTTGAGAGTAGAGT